AATAAAATATATAATAAACATATAAAATATATAATAAAATTTAAAGAAAATTATAAGAAAAATGTTAATAAAAATTCGTTAATATTACACTACTCTCTCCTTAGAAAATTTTGCTCCGCAAAATTATAAAAATTATAAAAGGATTATCTGTAGTGCAGATGCTGTAATCATGACCCGTTAGCAGAGTTTGCAGTCCATCAGTGGGTATTGAACCTACGGCTGCTGGTTATAGTTGCAGATCATTACCACTCTACTATAATTGATAATATATAAAATTTTTTAATTGTTCTATTTTTGATTGTTATAATTACCATATTTAGATAATAATTGTCAGAGGTATAAATTTGTATAATATAAGGGTAACGATGAGTTTTAGTGAAAGTATTCTTACTAAAATTTTCTAAAAGGTAAAAATATCGATAGTAAAAATAATAATGATACTAATAATAATAATAATAATAATAATAATAATAATCAAATTATATTAGACCAGTCGAACTCTTTCTAACGATCTCTTGGTCAACAACAAAACAAACTGAACTACAGAAAAATGTTATAGAAAAGCAACAAAGTGAACACCTAAATATTCCTAGTACTATATAAACATACTTGCTGTCGACGAAACTTTATATATGTGAAACACTGAGGAGTAGGCGTATAAACAACAAGTGGGTTGTGTCTTTAGGTCAAGCTTTTAGTGGACTCCTTCGCACTTTCGACATCCAAACCAAAAGGATATTTTGGGAGCAACGTCACTGTGGATCCCTGGACAGGAATACTAAGTAGAAACTGAGGAACTGGACTATACAACTATAACTCTTACAAGAAGAACCTCACATATTTTTGTTGGCCTACCACTTTTTTTCGAGGATTTTTTGTAAAAAGTAGGCGTTTCAGTTTACTTCCTCCAAAAGATCAACATCACGTATACCAAAACAGTCAGTATTGTTTACTTTCTAAATCGGTACAACAGGATAACAAACACGTCAAGGCACGTGTTTCGAATATAACAATCTAATTAAACAATACTCTGAGACTACTATCGAATACTGACCTCGTTACACGATTTCGGTCGAAGAAGTTTCCCACTGGGTTTTCACTTAAATATACTATTTAGATAAATTTTAGGGTAGAGACTAGTTTATTTAGTAGTATGTAATTTTTTAAAGCTTTTCACGGGCTTATAATAGTGATATTAGGATAGACAAATTTCTTTTTGTTTTGTTTTTTCTCTCTTTTTGTTTCCCCTTTTTCTTTCTTACTTGTATATTTTATTGTGATCCCCTATACCTCTGTGTTTTTTTTCCTTTCGTTAGTATTTTTGTATTTGGCTACTTAATGAAGCATGCAGCTGCTATAGCTCATGATCGGAGAGCACAAATCCTCAGTAAGTTGAGGATTCAACGTGAAGTTGATTGCTGCTAGGTAGGGTCACACTTGGGCCTTTAGCCGAGTGAGTCTTATTAGCATAGGAATATAGTATAGAAATATTATTACCTCCTGTTGTAATAGCTTACTGGTACTTCTAATAAAAGCAATGAGGCAAGACCGCTGAATATAAAAAAAATTAAATATATTAATTTCATAATATTCTACATACTTAATTATAAATGCAAAGCTATTAAAAAGACTGTTTTTGTGAAAATTTGCTTATTAATAAATTTTCAAGTAAAATTTTTTTGATAATTCTTGATCATAATTGGTCAATTACACTGATTTGCTGATATGAAAATATTTTATATTTAGTTAAATCAAGCAAGCATATTACAACATATTTAATTAAAAGATTTTTTATATTATACTAACTTCTTTAAATATATATAGCCAATTAGAAGTTAGTATTTAAGTTTATTATATAAGTCTGCCAATCAAATATAAAAACTGCAATTTGATTAGCTCTTTTTAAATACAAACCTTCTTAAATCATGTTTTAAACAGTTTGATATGTTGTATTTATAAAGATTTGATTATATAATCAAACCTCTCTATAGTCACCTTTTTTATAGTGATATTTGTTTATAATCATATAAAATTTTAAAACCAACTTATATAATACTTATAAAATTTAACCTTTATATAAACACAAACTCTTTATAAGCACTAAATTCTTAAAATCAAGAGTGTGATTATAAAGTTTAATTGTATTTATTTTTTTAATAAAGCTATTGATGTACTGATAGATTAATAATCATTTTATATATACTAGAAATTGATTCTTTGAAGTATATAATAACTACTTTAATAAATAAAATAAAAACTAAAAAAGACATCTTGAACTTCAACTTTAAATATTTGTGATAAAGGCAACAATACTAATAATTATAATTATTTTATTGACAATATTGTTAATACTATTAATAAAACAAAACTTCCATATTCTTTTAATAATATTGGTTTATCAATTCTAAAAATAAAACTATTAATATTTGTCTTACTATTATTAGTACTGAAACTAATATCACTACCAAAGCTGGCTTCAACTCTAATAGCAATATTAGCAAAACTAATACTAATCCTAATATTACCAATACAAAATATTAGTTCCAATATTATTACTACTAATAATGATTCTAATATTATCACCACTATTATTACCAATATTGCACCCACCACATCCTAGAAAAGAAAAACAAAGCAAAAAGAGGAATACAATAATAATAAATAATACAAACTATCAGTTTCTACTAGCTATAAAAAAAACTGCATATTATTTTAAAAAATATAAACAAAGATTAATATAAACTGTTTTATATATATGATTATAAATATTTATTTAAACTTTCTTTATTTGGTAGTATATATATTTAAGTAATAATAGAGCTATTGGATTAATGAATATTTATTTAATATATAAAATAAAGTTATTCAAATATTAGATGGCCTTAATAATACTTTGCATTTGAATTATACCAAAAATAGAACCAAATATCTTATGACATGTACAAAATTATGCCCGCAATTGGAAAGACTTTCGAGAACAATTTTAGGCATAACTTGAATGAATTAAAATATGTTCTTCGTTAGGGACAGGCTTATTGGTTTTTAGCAGTATCACGTGATTTTTAATATCCATACTGTCCTAAGAACTGTCCATAGATTTTCCGAGTAATTGTTGGCACACCTGGGGTAGTTGCGAATATGTATTTAATCCAGTGATCAAATTATCTCCCCGTTTGTTTTAATCATATTTCATCAGCCCGATAAAAAATTCGACAGAAAAAAAAGTAAAAAATTGATTAAAGAATTTAAATTAAAAGCAAAAGTTTTATTTCCAAAAACAAAAATAAATTTTGTAATTTATTTTTATAATTTATCAAAAAAGTAGCATTTTTTATAAAGATCAAAAGCACTATAAAGTGGAATAGTAACTAGAAATTCATGCAGTAACTTACTAAACTAGAAATAGTCACATGATTCTTGCAACACTAACAAATCATCTAAGATCCTTTCCACTGTTGTTCCAATTTGTTTAGTCATTTCTCGTTGTCTATGTAATGCTAAATTTGGAAACTGAATTAACAGATCTCCATCCAAAATCCCTTTAGCTGGATTAATGGCTAGTCGTTGTTTCGATTGCATAAGCCTTCATAAAATAACGTATAGGAACATTAGTTTTTTTTCTCACATTATCAAACATAGATGTCAAATAGGTACCTAAATGACTTAGGATTAAGACCTGCCGGATGCTGTATTCCATTCACCATTTGTGAATGCAATAATTGCATTCTTTTATACATCTTTTCAGGTATTGGGGTTATCATACCAATACTTCCATCAAGAGTTCCTAAGTATCGTGACAGAAATATATACTTATATCGTTATTCAATTGGTTATTTATAAAGTGTAATAGAATGATTAATAAATGTGTACCACATAAGCAAAGCTGTTTATGCCCACTGGTCTCCTCTTCTATTACAGGTATACCATGATCAATAGAATGTTCCCTTCTTGTCAATTCTTTTTTTGGTAATGATAACATCGTTTTTACTTGCGCGCCAACATGAAAATCACCTCTACGAATGAGTTTCTGACCAGCAAATGATTGTACATCTTAAAAGTAGATTGAATATTAAAGTTTACAAATGACTGCAATAAAAGATAGTTATTTAAGCAAAATAAACTTACTATAAGGTGCATACTGAAACAAATGTATATTCTTATCCATATCTGCCACAGCGAAATATAATACAGGCTCATCGATTATGAAATCAGTGCAACCAACTTCCATAGAATGATAGTCTTTACCAACCAATACTAGTTTCGCCGGTTCCTCCTTTGAGTGCGATTATATGTCAATACATGTAAAGTATATTGGGAATGACTCAGTGTTATAATTCAGTAAAGCCTTACCTGAAATCCAAGGAACCAAACACCCTTGTAGACATCTCCTAAAAGTATATAATCTTTGATCGATACTACACTACTAGCATAAATTTGTATATCTATGAATGCAACGCTAATAAGACGATCATTGTCTTCAAATGCACGAATAAAAATCTAATACAAAAAAATACAAAAGAAAAAAATTACTATTTATGCATAGCTTGCGAATTATATATATATATTTACCTTTGGTCCGACACACGTTAACAAGTATCCATTGACATCACAAATTGCAGTAACAGAACCTTTCACTTCTTCATGACATAGTAATTTAAATTTGTGATTTGTTTGTGGATTATCAGGTTCTGGCACGACTTCAATTATTTCAAATACGTAAACCTTTAAAAATTAATGATAGATTAAGAACATTGAAAGTGAACGGATTTGATCAAAGAATAATGGCTTACATTTCCCCGCATGCCAACGTCTTCTCCGCGGAAAATTCCTGTACCGATGGCAATAAATGATTTTCGACCACTAGTAGTAGATTTTGTTTGAAGACTCACGCATTTTATACATAGGCCTTGTTCATCATCATGGAAGTCATGCCTGCATGATGTGTTCAACTTTATGAACCAATTAATAATATATAAATAGTTATCAAATGTTATAAATTCTAATCAAACCTGTCTACAGTTTCCCAAGTGACAGGAGATATCAATTCAAGAGTAAATCTTTGGGTTTCAGGTAAAAACTGAGAACTATCTACATATAGTATAAAGTTGATTATCAAAAGCTATTTACGCATTATCAATATGTATAGACAAGTTACCTCGCTCAAGTTCTAAAGGTTCACCATTTTCATCTCTCAGTAGAAATTCAACAGGTACCGACGTTAACAATGCGTAAACCTGCATTTCCGGATGATACTCGATCCCATAAACGGATCGATTTAATTGAATTTTTTTCACAGTCCATTCCATATCATATTGAAAATCAGTCGGTAACTCTGAAAATCGACAAACGTCCTAAGCAAAGATTAATAAAACTGTATTGATTGAATAAAATAGGCGTTAAAAATTTTAATGACTAATTACCTGGGTATTACTATACAAAAAGCCGTGCTTACAATGTTCATTATGAAATTGTGTAAAACTTCGTATTTCACCCTCCGCGTTCATCGGATGTAACCTCAGATAATTGTTATGCGCACAAATCAACCAAACAGGTTTCGCACCTGCTACAAAAACGCCAGAGTAACCCGAAATATTTGTGAAGGGTATCAGTCGTCGATTTATTTGTTTAAGGATAGGTCTCCGCTTTTCTATATCGTGACTTGTTTGATCAACTTCGTCAATATTCGATTCTTGAAGAGTTGACCTTCTAGATACAGGTTTATCGTGGATATCACTGTATATAGTTTCACGCAATATGTACTCCTGAGGAACACGCGAAAATCGTATAGCTAGACGATTGGTAAACTCGCCTTGGGATTGTGACTTTAAGAAAGGATCTGATATGTCGGTGCCAGGTATATATCGAAAGGCTTTGTAAATCATGATGTCACCAACACTAGAACGTGCCTAAAACATTAAATACACGTTCAACATTTTTAAACGTTCGAGATGTTATCAGAGAATAAGAAATAAACAATAATAAGTTACAATTAAATATGGATCCTTTGTTCGTCGACCAATGTTTATTAGCAAAATTTCTTGAATTTCCACAGTCTGTCCAGAAGCCTTCATATTTTGTCTTGTTATAACATCGTTGAGAACAGCTGGTGACAAATCAAAATGCGGGAAATGAAAGACCTCCTCAAATTCAGGAAGCTTATGAATCTATCGTATAATATAAATTATAAATATTGGTATCTTTGATATATGGGTGTCACCAAGGGAATACCTGTCATCGGACTTTCAATTATATTTTGTGTACAGTTAGCCGTCTATGAAAAATCTATCATATTGATAGATTTTCCATAGATGCCTAACTGTACACAAATATAATTGAAAGTCCGATGCAGGTTTTCCCTTGGCGGCACTCATATAATAGTATAAAATATAAATCACTGACCTCCAAAGAACCATCTTGTCGATAAAGTACGCACCAAAAGCTTTCGGATTTCACACTTTCAACAAAACCACTTAGATTTGGTTCATTTATCTCACCCCCGATCTCTTGTCGATTTTCATAAATATTATCGTTATCAACGTCCATAGAAGTTTCTGCATTTGGATTTTCTTCTATGTTGGCAGGAGTTTCGCTTACATTAGCATATAAATCGTCTAACTCATCATCTTGAAAAATTGATGTCTTTTCTGGTCGCGTTTTATCCGTTTTTTTGACCTTGCTATCTATTGGAGATGCTAACGGCGTAACGTCCTTAACAAGAGCAAAAAGATCGGTATCATCTCGATATATATGGCATGATGCAGTAGGAATATCCTGTATAAAAGAGAAATAGCTTAAATTTGATACAAGGTAATCAATAACATACATATAAATTGATTCTTACATTAATAAACGAAGGCTGGGAATAAAAATCAATATTCTTTGACTTATCATCAGCCTTTAACAACTTAATATCACCAGTGTCAAATAATAGCAATATATATGGATCAACAATGCTAGCAAATACAATTGAGCTCGTCTCCGAATCATCTTGAGTTGGTATCATTTGCACAAGTTTTCCATCTATATATGTATACAAAAATAAAGATAAGAAACACTGATTTACACTTCATATAAGTAATATGTCGAACAAAAAAAATAAACCTTGATCGAGAAGCCGAAGGCCATGACCACAAATTTGTAATATACGTGACCCATTCAGCACTGATCCAACGGCCACTGTCGGACCATCCGTATAAAAATCAGAATGCTCAAGTTCCTGTAGTTCTTCACCACAGACAACCTAGACGTAGCAATATATTTAAAATGATGCAGATTTACAATTTTACAAATTAATAACAAATATACCATTGTCCTATATTTTTGTGAAATGAATAGGAATTTGTGAAAAGATTCTTCTGCATCACCAGTATCGATATTCATATTTTGATATATGACATCTTTGCATGATACCGTCCACATATTTAAACAATCAGTCATTGGAAAAGAGCTTGATACTATTGGATTGATATTACGCTATAATAAACAAGTCAACTCAATTATGATTGGAATTAGAATTAATCATAGAATTAATCACTAAGATAAAAGAAAAAGCACCTTACGTGGAATATACAAAGCGAAGAAGCCGCTCCGGAACCCGAACAAGAAACCAACTCCAATTCTTTATGCACAGTATGTAAATGAGACTCTTCCTAAAAGAAATCAAGACTTTAGCATTTTAAATTGTATACGCATTGATTCTAACAAATCTTTCAACCTCAGAGAATGCTAATTCGCCATAAGCCAAATCCACTATTGGCCCAACATTAATAAGTGTGTCGCATACAGTAAAGTTGTATTCAAAGGCCGTTGGAAATTTAGTACTTATTTTGCTGCTTATGCCTCCAATATTTGTACCACTTGTCGTATCAGTTTCATATAATTCTAACACGTGTAAAATATTAAATATTAAATAAGGTACAACATGTAGAAAATTAAAAATGTTTATTACCAGCATCAAAATCAAAGGTATTTCTTCGCGACTAATGATGAAACAAACTAATTAGAGACTAAAATCATAAATAATTCAAAGTTAATAGTTTATTGATATTACCATATTACTAAAACCATTCACAGCACCATTTGCCATATAATTGGATTTGGAAGCTTTATATTGAACTAAATGTGAATCGCCTAGTCGTGATCCTAAAAAGAAATAGCCAGGCGCTACGTGACAAGCACATGATGGTAACGTATTAGTGCCAACTTTTTCTATTGTAATCCTAGATATCGATCTTCCATCCTTTATCAATTTTACTAGGTACATGTCGCCATTACGCAAAAAAATCAAAATTTCATCTTTATCTAAGAAAACATAATGACATCCTTCTAAAGCAAGACCCAAATGCTCGAATGAACGATCAAGTGGAAAATCTGTTGTGGACATTGCATATCCGTTAACAGCAATACCAATTCCTGGAGAACTTTGATCAACATGAATTATCGCGTTCGCAGTTATAACGAGGATGCCACCAACAGGTTTTTGAATTGGAATTAACTTCACACAAGAATGTGGTAACTTATCCATTGAATATATGACTGGATATACTTTTTGTGAAATGTCTAGTGACACAACGACAAGAGAGCAAGTGTCCTTATTTGTGCTCATTTTACTAAAATGTTGATATTGTGGAATTTAGTAATTTAGTAAAATTTCAGTGTCCCTATAAATACAATAGTATATCATCTTTACCCCGGCCAGGTTTGACATGATTCAAAAAGTATGGCTAAAGTTGGTTCATAATAATCATACAAGAATTTCATATCTATGACATTTTTAATTCGTGGTTGAATGGAAGGCAGTTCGACAACAAAACTCGGTAAGTAAGGCCACTTGCTACCCAAATTGAAATGTTAGAATAAGAAGATTACTATTCAATTAATAAACAACAAATACTAAATGGCATTGCACACCTTGCAACTTCCTCTTCGTCTAGATTTAAAGCTTCTTCTTGACGAAAAGGAAGAATTGCCAGCTTATCACCAAAAAAATTCAATATAGCACATCTATTTGATGGATCCACCCTTAATTCGGTTGGGCGCGTATTTGCTAGAAACTCTAACTAATGATGATAGAAAATATTACTCAACATAATGATAATGGCATATCAATAATTGATTATATATCAACTACTATTCGATGAATACCTTATATTCCTCCCTCTCGTAATAGTGGATAGATACCGTGACGATGTTGTTAGTTGCCAATGAGAATTCCAAAAGCGACAACTATAATCATAAAGATTTCATATATTAATATTTTACCAAATTCTAATGACTCAATATCACGCCTATTACCCCAAATCAACGAACCTTTGCATCCTTAAAGCTTAATAGCAGACTATCCATACCATTTGCACCCGAAGAAATCGTTCTCACAACTCCCATAGAGGTTATATTACCATGAAGCTTATATTGTGAGATAAGCTCAAGATGGCCAGTCATGAATGACGGATTTGTAGCCGGTTTGAGTGTTAATAGAAAAGTCTACATGAATCATTTGAAATATTTTTTGCCACATATGAAAAGAAGAAATTGTATAAGAATACAAATATCGAAGAGAATTCAAAGGCAAAAAAAAAAGTAAAAAATTAAAAAATTAAAAATAATTTATTGATTTTGTATTTTCTTTAAGTTACATTTATTTATTTAACTTAGCTGAAATACTCGTTACTCGCTCTAACCATATTAATTTATGAGTCTCTAATCTTTTAAAATTCTATTTATGCATTGTAAGAAAGCCGAAAGGCCGTTTCAAACGAACTAGTTAAATCCTTTTAGAAAAAAACTTTACAACAAAACTATGAACATAATATGCTTTGATCTGCTTCGAAGTAGAATATCTTTAACAATTAAATTTTGATAATAGGAAATTATAATTTAGATTCCTTTGTTCTCTCTAAAATACACTACTCTTGCTAACTTTATTCGGTCCAGTGCTAACTACCTTTCGCTTGACTATCAACCAAAATAAGGAAACTAAAATAACGCGTGCTCACCTCATCCTTCTCCTTTTCTATTTCTTGACTTAAGTCATTATCCTCGTCTTCTACTGAAATCTCAATTCGTTCAACAAATTTGTAAATTTGTAATATAGATGAACGTGCAACTATTATATTAATGTCTTTTGGCGAGGTAAAATTGGCGCAAACAACTTCCTCAACGCTTGTTGACGGAAAAATCTCCTTATATAGAGGGTATATAGACATTCTTTTTTCTTTTCCTTGTTATGCTATGCGTTAACGCGAATACCTATTTCACACATACCAGTACCCTAGCGAAAAAAGAGCGTCGCTCACGTGAAATTATACTTGGACATAAACTACCCCAGGATCGCCACCAAAAATTTTCACGCTCACGTGATGATCTACAGGAATTATCCAATAGGCGATAATAATTTGGTGTA